ATATATATATATGCATTTATTGAATCAACAAGATTATTTTCAATTACGCCTTGATGCTGTTGACTCAACATCATTTTTTTCCCAGTAGATATTAATTGCATTCTTGCCGTAGATATTAATTAAATTCGCTTATTAACATCGATGAATGAACTCGCTGTGTGTCTTAATTAAACTGCTTTAAATTTTTCTTCTTAAAAAGGGAACATGAAAAAAATGATTTTGTTTGAAATGTTTAAAAATTTGAACGGATACAAATCTGAAAATAATCTTGTTGAACCATATCATGCAAAAGCACATGATCGCTAATTTCTTGAAAAATTCAGATTTGAAAGCAGTGCGAACTTCTTGACTAACAGTTTATTCTTCATAACGTAATGAAAAGCAGCTTGTTTTGTTCCAGGCCGCAGAGGGCTTCGTTTTCGTAGTGGGTTGCGATCGTGGAAGAATCCTTTACGTATCCGAATCCGTCTCGCAGACCCTCAATTATTCTCAGGTACCGAATTTAATTAATCAGCTCTATCAAATTTCCATCACGCTTTGAAATCCATCAGCATTGTAGCAAAGGATATTGTGTGAAAGCGCACGCGCATCAAGAATCATCGCGTAATTAATTGTAATGTCCGTGCTACCATTAGCCTCTATCTGAATAATGCCCACTCGTGTTCATGTCATTGGTTATAAATTGTATATCTTGAAATGGATATTTAATATGTGATTGGCAGCAATCGCTATTGCCACTGTGTCGTAATTTGCTGATTTGCGAACTGCCGTTCTCTTCTGCACTTCCGAGTATTCCAAGTCAATTAACTCTTGGTGTCAAAGATAACTAAAGCGAAACATTTAAATCGTCGATAGTTTCAGAATGATTTCGATATGTGGACATTACGAATTAAATATAAATTAAATAACGTTAAACAATTTTTATTAAACACGTTAAACAATACCCTTGCTCGATCTTGCTTGGTAAAGCGGACTTTTGTGTCGCTTCTTTTTTTTTTTTATATTTTGAAATTTTTATATTTTGAAAATAAGAATTTTGTATCATTGTGTCACAGGGTGACTTGTTGGGTCAGAGTTGGTTCGACATTCTGCACCCCAAGGATGTCGCCAAGGTGAAGGAACAGCTCTCGTCCTCCGATCTCAGCCCGAGGGAACGATTGATCGACGCGAAGAGTGAGTAACCAGCTGTGGCTGTTGCGTTAACCGTTGCTGTTCCGCGTTGCGTTCCGCATCTCGCGGATTTCGGCTCGGCGAGTCAAACGGTCGCGTGCGCGGGCATTAATTTCTCCGGCTGCAAAGACTTTCCGCCTTCGAAGTCATTAATTATGACACCTCTCGACGTTGCCTCACGCTCGGCGCGTCGATCATTGCAAACGCAAATTAGTTGCCGCGCGCATCTCTTCCACCACCTTCACCCGATAAATGTCAGTCGCCCGGCAGCATTTGCTCGCGTAAGCTTTGTCGATAAACATCTTTGAATTAGCGTGCCTACCAGATAAGAGCGTTGCGAAAACTCGCACGCCGAATGAGGAGAGGAGACGTGGAGTTGCCGAACGGGTCTAATGCCAGGATTCCTCCAACGATTTCATCGCGATGCGATCTCTATGTAAAGCATTCCGCAAGATCGTCAAAGTATTTGAGACTTAAATAATTGCATCATTAATATCGTATAATAAACGTTTTTTGTGATAGAGATATGAGAGATGAAGACTTTTAGATAGAGATCTTAAAGAGAGAGAGCGATATCAGATATGATAGGAATTAACAAAAAAAAAAAATAGAGAGAAAAGAAACGCAAAGTGAAAGGCAAGGACAGATGAACGATTGATCGACAGATCGGACTATTGCTATCATAATTATTTCAGCCATGTTACCGGTGAAGACAGACGTGCCTCAAGGCGTATCACGACTTTGTCCCGGCGCACGGAGATCCTTTTTCTGTCGGATGAAGCGCAAAGTCGACCGGGTTCGTTGCGGCGATATGCAGGTGAAAGAAGAAGCCGACACCACCATTGGCTGTCACAGACGAAAAAAACAACAAAACATAGGTGAGTGTGGCTAATTATATAAATATTAAGGAAATTTCTAATTTAATCGACGATTATGGATCCAAGAAAGATCGGGATCTCGAATCACAAGGAAGGCCATGTAAAGAAATTTGTTAAAATTTAATGAAGATTTTTTTCAATAGTAAGAGAAAAATCTTTTATCTCTAATAACATTTCATTTTTTAAAGAATAATAATTTTAAATTTTTTGTAAATAATTAATATTTCATTTTTTTACAGTCCGAATTTTTGGACCGTATTTTTTTTCAAGATTGATATAATGTGTTTTTTTTTAATAAAAGAGATATTTTTAAGTCGTGTCCCTTCCTCAATGATTCAATCTTCTTTCAAAAAAAGCAAAGAACCTCGTAGAGCGGAAAAATATGAGCGTGACAATTCAGAGTGTTCGAACCGAGCACAAACGTGTCTTTCGGATAGCCGCACGCACGATCGGAGACACGGCATGAAAATTTGTCGCTTGGCTCGTCAAAGGTGAAAAGGTGGAAACCGTACAGTATCGCAGCGAAACACCGGTGAAAGGATCGTTGATATATTCTCATCAAATATCTCGCCGGCAATTTCCAATCACCATAAAATCCCGATACTTTCCCCTCGCTATTTTATCTCTTCTAAGCACACAGCATGACATTATAATCAATCAAATCGTAGCTTATGTCGTTTGCGAACTCGGTCTCAATCGACGAGTCTGCACGGAGACGCGTCTTTTTTAGATTGGAAGTATTGCGTGATTCAGTGCACGGGTTATCTGAAGTCCTGGACGCCCGCGAAGATCGGCCTCGAGGAGCAGGAGGGCGAGGCCGACGGTGAGGCTTGCAACTTGTCCTGCTTGGTCGCGGTCGGCCGGGTCCAAACGGCGATTTCGACGGCCGCGATGTCGTCGAGGAAGCCCCATTTGCGGCCCGTACAGTTCGTTTCGCGACATGCGATGGATGGCAAATTTCTGTTCGTGGACCAAAGGTCGGTATACTATCGAGAATCCTTGATAATTGGACATTTCATTTATGAAGAATTACTTTTTTTTTTTGTTATTTAGAGCTACTCCAGTATTGGGCTTTCTACCTCAGGAACTGCTGGGCACCAGTATGTACGAATATTATCATCACGATGATATCCCTCATCTAGCGGAGTCTCATAAAGCCGCATTACAGACTTCCGAACGCGTTACCACACAGGTGATTAATATTGATGTAATGCGTTGTTATCAACCTCGTGACCTTTCCTTGATAATCGGATTAAACTATGGCATCGCGCGTGTATTGAACAATTGAAAGCATTATAGTTAATACATGCGCGGTATCATCGTCAAATACACACGTTAAAGCGAAAACGAAACTACGGTAATGATTTGATCTTGCGCGTTATCGCTTTTGCAGATCTATAGGTTTAGAAGCAAGGGCGCGAACTTCGTGCGGTTGCAGTCCGAGTGGAAGTCTTTCAGAAATCCGTGGACCAAAGACATCGAATACCTAATCGCCAAAAACTCCGCTATCTTGTAAGAAACGTTTACCGAATTTCATTCGTATCGTGCGTGATTTTATGGTATAAAGAGATCTTTCTGTCGTTTTTTCAGCTGCGACTCACGATCAAGTGGAAATAATGGAAGATCCGAGGACTCGAGCGTGCAGGACTACGATTATTTCACGCAAAGTAGGTGCAATTTTTTTCTACTAATAGACTTTTCTAATAGATATTTCTAATAATAGATACGTGATTTGTTGGAGCGGTTGATTAAGAGGTCCTGTAAACAGGTAATGGTGGATTAGAAAGACTGATCTCGAGCCACGTGGAAGTAAGTAAAATCGGCCGACAAATCGCGGAAGAAGTGTTGGATCTACAAAGACGAGGAGAAGACTCTTCCTCGGGTAGTAGTCCTGGCCCAATGACGGAGACCAGTTTATTAAACATGGAGGTAAATATATGGAAAGAAAATTTTGTTAAAGTATTTAAAAATTGGGCCAGATCTGAAAATAATTTGATCGGGTCATCAGAATAATTAGGAGTAGGATGTTCAGATAGAATATCAAAATTTTTTATAGTATTATCATTATGCTTGAATTAAATTTTTAAATATTTCAATACTTCCATACTTCAAAACTTCTTTCTTTGTATGTTTAAATTTAGCTAGAACCAATTTCTAATTATGTTAAATTTTTGATTAAAAGTCACATATCACGACGACGACGACGACGACGACGACGACGACGACGACAAACTACTACTACTACTACTACTACTACTACTACTACTACTACTACTAGTACTACTACTACTACTAGTACTACTACTACTACTACTAGTACTACTACTACTACTACGACGTCGCCAGAAAGGATACCTGACGTTTCTCAACCGAGTGTCATCGGGAGCAACAATAGTAGTAGCAATCCCACATCGACGTTCAACCACGTAGCGAATGTGCAGCTCAACAGCATCGCGAATGACCAAGGTCATAGCTATTACTGTCTCTAAGGAATCATTTCTTGGTGTGTAACGCGCTAGCCAAAATTATTCAGAGAAGGAAGTAAAGACTAAAGTACACGAATGGATAAGAGAAAAAGTCTTGGTAACGCGTGTATAAGAACAATTTAATTGTTGTAATATTTCTCTTTGCGCACGAGAAAGATTACGGCGAATTAATATCATGCAGAACGTAGCGATTCCGTTCATATTACTATACTAGTTGTATTAATCTAAGCATGATATTGATATTAGCGATAACATCCATCTTTCTTCAGGATCGTCACCAGACGAGGACATGATGGACATGATTGGCGGCACCACGATTAACGAGTCGCCGAATTCGATTCCATCCGATGGCAACGACGAGGCAGCGATGGCTGTTATTATGAGCCTGTTGGAGGCGGATGCGGGTCTAGGCGGTCCTGTAGACTTTTCCGGATTGCCGTGGCCATTGCCATAATGCATACGCACTTTAGTCGACAATTTTAGTCTACGCAGAATGCGAATGACGAGACGATTTCTCGTTGAATGGAACGTGCTCGGAACGTTCAAACGATGCCTGTAATGAAATGGTGCTTTTCAAATATCCGGACTCCGTTAATCTGAGCGAACTGTAGATTCTGAAACGGAAGTTCTCACCTCACTCGACTCAATTAATCATCATTCTTTAAAATTGATATTCATGGATTCATAAACTGATATATGTATATATATGTTTATGTTGTATCTTCCTTCCATCTCTTGTCGTTGATTCTTCGGGAAAAGATGGCGAAATAATTTGCGTTCAGCAACGAGAGATGAATGAACGAATATAATAAACCCTCGATTACATAGTGTTGTGACATAATAGTGCGGACAATAACGCGTGAACAATAATTTCGTTTTAGTGACAAATTGACATTGTATGTGTAAATATATAGGCATGCGTGCATGCTTGCGCGCGATATGCAGTTTAAGTGTACCTAATTAAATCGTAGGAATATCTATACGCGCGAGGACTTTCAGAAAATAAATTTTAAATTCGGTGAACATAATTCGGGATGACAAAGCTTGTTGTGTGCAAATATCATCTTTCGAACGCACTGTCTAAAAATTATGCATCGGTAATTGAATTATACAATCTGATGCTGCAATCCGAGAATCCTCTTCCATCTCGCTATAACGTAATGACTCGAAAATATTGTAGTAATGTATCTACGAGAGACACGAATGGAATGTGGTAAGATAAAAATTAATGTAAATAACATGACATACTGCTGTAATTTATTGTCCGATATTAAAAAAGAGATAACAAATATTCACAAGACAACTTAGTATCTGATTACACATTCGGTATAAATAAATGATGGTAATCTTTTTATGTAGGAAATCAATATTAATTATTGCGAGATCGCTTTCCTACAAGATTCTATTAACATATATCTTGAACATTCATTAAAATTACATAATAAGACATTATAAGAATATATCTTGATAAGAAGTCCTATTCAAAAATTTCGCATTCTCCAAATAAAATATAATTCGAGTGAGATAAATCAATATAACTGCCTGGAACATAGCTTTCAATAGCTAAATTTGCGGTATTAAGAAAATATGGTAAAAATTGAATTAAATTCCAAAATAGAATGCGAATTTTTAAATATAATAAAATAATATTTTTCACATGTTTCATTTTTTTTATCAACATACAAACATAGATTGTGAGAATTTCTTTATATATGTATATCTATATACAATAAGAGAAATGTGATTATTATTTACATTAATTTGTACTAATTAAGTTATTAGACAATATATCATATATTCCGAACTCGAAGATTATCTATGTGATAAATTACGTAAATATTAATATCTAAGTACAAAAAAATTATTAAATGATTTAATAGAAAGAAATTCTCATAATTGCAAAGATCAATAGACTTATATATAATTGTTTATAAAAATTCGTATTCGTTGGAAATGCTGATTAAACAAAATAGCAGAGAAACAAGATTGAAATAAATTACCGAATGTGTACACAATTAGTGGTCTCCGGTTAATTTTATCATAAACAGTGCACAATTTACAACTTTAAATGTTCAAATCCGATTTGCAGAGTACACAAATACGACACGTGTGCACGTTACAATAGTTTGTATCTGTGAATAAAATGTTTTTATGTTTCGTACTACATGCTGTTACCATTCCTATACATAGCTATTTCGTTTTATCATTCGACTTTATTATAAACGCTAACTTGCTCAATGTACATACCAGTTAATTACAAAAAATATTTACTGTTATACATTTCCATATAGCGCTTCTTTTTTCTCAATATGAGAATTTGAGAGTTCTGTATCAAGTCTGTATTACGAAAAACGTTTACACAATAGCACTTTATCGACTCAATCATTTTCAATTTTTATTTTAATGGAACATTTAAATTCTGAAGTCGATAATATCGTAAGCGTACATTCTTCATACATTTTCTCGATGCATGATCGAGATTTGAACTGCTTGAATTGTTATCTATTTCCGATGTATTGTGTTTGGCATGTTAAGACTCTTCAGGATCACATTTAATTGTTCGAGAAGTACTATCATCTGTTATATTTTCACTCTTAATTTTAACATCAAGATATGAATCTTCCGATACATTTGAATATTTATTTAAATTTTTTTCTTTTCTCTGTCAGAAGTGTCATCATAGAGTATATCGATCTCACTCTTAATTCGAAGCCCAGCTTTTGAATCTGAATCTTTAAATGCCTTTGCGTATTTTTTTGAACTCTTTTTCCCTTCTTTATCAGAAATATCCGTATCATTGATTATTTCGACTTCTTTCTTAATTTTAAACTCAGCTTTTGAGTCTGAATCTCTGGATGCTTTCGCATGTTTCTTTGGACTCTTTTTTCTTTCTTTATCCAAGGCGTCATTTGCATCATTGATTACATCGTCTTCACTCTTAATTTTAAGTGAATCTCTTAAAGCCTGTTTCTTAGAACTTTTTTTTCTTTCTTTGTCAGAATCTTCACTTTTTATAAATTTAGGCGTTTTAAAAATCTCATCTACTTTTTGCGCAGCTTGATTCTCGCTATAAAATGATTGATTTTCTGGATCTTGCTTTTCAATCTTTATTTTAACAATATGATCTGATTCTGAATCTGACATTACCATTGGCGATTTCTTGTTTTTTTTATGTTTTTTAGATATACTTAATATTTCTGAATTACTTGAAGAAAGACTCGTGTTTGGCATATTATAGTTCTCATGTTGCTCATCTTTTTCAGATTTAATACGAATTGAAATAGTACTCTCTGTATTATTCATTACTCCTTCTTCATTCTTTACAATTACAAATTCCGAGTCAGATTCTCGAGATTTCTTCGCATGTTTCTTTCTCTTTTTCGTTTCTCTTTCAGTAACACTATCTAATGGAATGGAATTTTCTCTCTTTACAGCTTTACGAATTTCTATATGTTCGTCCAAATCTGTATCGTTATTAAATGATTTAGATATTTTCTTGCTTTTTTTATGTTTTTTAGATACATTATCTGTTTCGATTTCTGATTCATTTTCAATTTTCAAGTCAATTTCTAAACTCTCACGAGATTTCTTGTGTTTCTTTCGATGTTTTCTCCTCTCTTTCTCAGAAACATTATCATCTTTATCTTCTGACATTCCGTTAATGGAATTTTCAATCTTCACAATGCTATTAGCACTGTAGGTTTCAATTGCACTGTCCATATTATCAATATTATTTATACTTTCTAATAATTTACAACCTTGCGAGTAATCAGAATTTAAAATGGCACAAATAAAAGGGGGTTTACTCTTGTTATCTATTTGATTCACACAACATTTCACTTCCTGACCGATCTCCACTGAATCACCTGGCCATTCCTCTACATCATCTGGTTTCGGAATAGATATGGTATATATTTTATGCACTAGTACCACAATATGATCTAATCCCTTCTTATTGACTACACCTATAATACATATTGAATAATTATTACTATTATTTATAATTATTATTATAATTATAAATTTATAACAAAATTAGTAAATATATAATGTACCTTTTAGAAAAGATCCGACCGTTGGACGAAACAGATAGAAATCTGCTTCAATGTCGACATGAATAAAGGGAGAGTCATAGAGTGTTGCTCCAAGATTGTTGAGCAGTTTAGAATTTCTAAAAGCCAGCACAAATCCCTTCAATCTAAAACATAGAATTATCTTATGAAATTCTATCACAAATTTCTTAACTGTACATATTATTCTTTGCTAATATCTTTGCTAATCGTAATATGTTCATATTTTTACTTAGTATATCTTAATATATCTAAATACAAAATAATTATATAATTTGATGTCAACTTCCTACTAATGCAGATTAATTTTAATTTCAGTTTATTCTTTATCTCTTTTTGATTCTGAGAATTAAAAAGGATGAAGAAAAATAAGTTAAACCAAAATTAAAGTTACATCTTGTTGATTGAATGTTGATTGAAATATATATAAATACAGTGCATAATAAATTTATAATAAAATAGCAATTGATAGACGATACTTATATTTGAACAATAAATTTAATTACATTTGTATTTTTAAACATTAAATAGAAATTGGAAATTCACAAATAATTATGAAATAAAAGAATAAGGGAACAAAGGTAATATACTGAATTCATACTCTCTGTCATAGGTATTCAATGATGAAACCAAAATCTGATTCAGACCCCGTTGAACATTGTTCAAGTGATACGGATGTAATGCGAGGTGTTTGATTGTCCTCGTAAAATGCACGTGAGCCTCCTCATCCTCTAGGAGGCCGGTGAGTTCTAGAGAAGTCCACGTTACTTCGCAGTCCGTCTGCTGCTTCATTTCACCTCGAAGATAATCGACGAGATTTTTTGAAAAGAGTATCGTTTAAAATGATGTACACGAAGACATTTCTACGGAATAACAATAAATGAATCTGCAGACGAGACAATTGAGGTTAGACTTTCAGTTTTATTTACAGCTCAACTCCCGCGCAGATAAATTTCCCAAAGCTTGATACGCTCTCATAATTTCTTCGCAGGAAGAGTCCCGTTTGATCACGTCCCGATTGACCACAACCATTCACAGGGGCCGGTGCCTAGAATTTTTCCACTGTTCAAGCGCTGTGAGTGGTCAATCGGGTGCCACTCTTTCTCGCAGCTGCGCTTCACATATTGTTTCTTCTACTCTCGAAATAAAATCGATATAGCATTTATATATGTAGTAGGCAAGAGAGAGACGATATGAAAAGTACACAAAGATCAGATGGACCAAACCTATGGACCTACGAAAAAGGTCGGGATAGCCGGTCTCTGATTTTAAATAATTATCTTTGTAATATTTTTATTTGTAATTTATAATATTTATGAATTTAATTAAAACAGATTGATTCACCTTGCACCTTCTGCACTCGTTCTTTCTTTCTTCCACGCTCGCATACATATGTATGTTCTTGTTTTAGGTGCAACAAATACTAGGGAGTGCAAATAATGCGGACAAATTTAATACGTAGTGAGTGTTAAATTGTGGAGTGCTAGTGATTTCATTGTCATTCAACCGTTGGCCATCCTGAAATCCTCATAACAAACGATACTTCTCGTGTACTGCGAATATAGATTTTTTTCCGAATGTTTTTCCGTTTTGCCACATGTTACATTGTATTGTTACATCGTACAGAAACGTAGGAATCGCACGCGTGAATTCGACGCCGAATCCGCAGTCGCCAAATCAGCAAGATGAATTCGAAGAAGACCATAACCTTCGGTAAGATAGGTGCTACTTTAGGCAAACCGGCATCTGAGGCACCCGTCGAAACATCTACCTCTGGATTCGGCACTTTCGGTAAGAAGCGCGAGGAGAATAATGTGAAGAAGATGGATGAGATCAAGCCGGAGGACGAGGAGGAAACGCGAAGCATGCAGAAGATGATGGGTATTACAGGCTTTGGGAAGAAAGCTAAGTCTTTCGACGTGCAGGAGATGATGGAGAACATCACTAAGACCATCAACAGCAATAAAGCAGCTGCAATAGAAAAAGGAAACCTTGATGAAATTGCTGAAACCAAAGAGGACAAGGTGAGTGACGACGACGACGATGATGATGATGATGATGATGATGATGACGCTGATGATGACTTCATTGGTCCACCAATACCATCTTCAGCGTCTGTCACTTCGGAAAGAGCTAAAGATTCAAACGAAGAGAAGAAGAAGAAAAAAAAGAAAGATAAAAGTGATGACGATGACGAATCATCAGATAATGAAGAAGAGGAAGAAGAAGAAGAAATGACATTGAGAGATAAAATCCCTTGTTCCCATGAGGTTTCGATGACTCATGGCACCAAAGCAGTCATCGCTATTGCTGCAGATCCATCTGGAGCTCGACTAGCATCTGGGTCCATTGATTATGATGTTTGTTTTTGGGATTTTGCAGGTATGGACACGTCTATGAAGAGTTTTCGTACCCTACAGCCCTGTGAGAACCACCCCATCAAATGCTTACAATACTCTACAACTGGAGATGTAATACTGGTCATCTCGGGGTCAGCACAGGCAAAAGTTCTGGATCGGGATGGCTTTGAGAAGTGTGAGACCGTCAAGGGTGATCAATATATCACGGACATGGCACGTACTAAGGGTCATACTGCTAGTCTTAACAGTGGCTGTTGGCATCCATTTACCAAGGAGGAATACATGACCTGCTCACAAGACAGCACCTGCCGGATATGGAATCTATACAGACCGCGTGCGCACAAAAACCTGATAAAATGCAGGGCGCAGAACGGCGTGAAGACCGTGCCCACTACATGTGCATATAGCCGCGAAGGTGCGGCAGTTGCCTGCGGTTGCATAGATGGCTCGATTCAGATGTGGGACCACAGGAAGAACTTCGTGAACCCGTCTCTCGTGTTACGAAGCGCGCACGCTCAATCCAGCGAGATATCGAGTTTGAGCTTCTCGTATCTAGGGCAGATGTTGGCGAGCAGAGCGTGCGACGACACTTTGAAACTCTGGGATCTGAGGGCATTCAAAACGCCGATCTTCGAAGCTAGAGGACTGTTCTCGCGCTATGATACCACGGATTGCATGTTTAGTCCAGATGACTCGATGATCGTCACTGGAGAATCCTTAAACAAGGGACAGACGACTGGCAGAGTACTGTTTTACGATTGCAAAACATTTGAGCTGATCAGAGAGATCCCCGTGACAAACTCGCACGTCATCAAAACTTTGTGGCACCCGAAATTAAATCAGGTGTTTGTTGGCTGCGGCAACGGCATCGTCAAGGTGTATTACGATCCCAAGCGAAGCATGAGGGGTGCCAAGCTATGTGTTGTTAAAACGCACATGAAGCAGAAGCATATTGAGATAATGTCCACCCAGCAGATCATAACGCCTCACGCGCTTCCCCTGTTTCGCCAGGACAGGCCCAAGTCAGTTCGCAAGCAGATGGAGAAGGATCGGCTCGACCCGGTGAAATCAAGGCGCCCGGATCTGCCTATCACTTCCGGTCAAGGCGGCAGAGTAGCGTCCTCCGGAGGAACGCTTAGTTCATATGTCATACGTAATCTTGGATTGAGTAAACGAATAGAGGACGATCAGGATCCCAGAGAAGCTATTCTCAAATACGCGAAGATAGCCGAGGAAGAACCGTACTGGATTGCGCCCGCGTACAAGAAGACGCAGCCGAAGACGATTTTCCAAAATGACGAGCAAGATAGCGGGCCAAGTAATAAAAAACAAAAGACTTAGATTTTTACATTCGTCTTGTATATACGAGCTGTGTAATGTGTATTTATATGTATATATATATATATACAGTATATCTAGCAAATTAATCAGAGAACGTAATAATATTTTATGACACAGAGTTAAGATGATAACTTTAAAACTTAAAAACTTTAAAAGTAAGGATATTAAAATATTTTCTTTTTCTCTTAATATCCATTTGATTTGATAACAATTTTAATTATTAATTTTATCATTATGTAGAAAACAACTCGATTATTTTGTGAGTATTGTTAGAAAATTGTTTTAGGAACTAAAACTTAATCATGATAATAGACACACTGATTAAATAAACATACAACATTCTTGTATGAAATAAATTTAGATATCAAATATTGATGCATTATTAGAATATATAAAAAGTATTAATATACTTTTTTATATTGAATGAAATTAATTGTTAGACATACAGCATTTTTGCAACAATATGTTTGGTAATTACTCAATTTATGCTCTTCAGTTCCAATATTGATGAAAAAATTATGCTTATTTTTATATAGTTTTGTATGAAACAAAAGGATTTGGCAGAAAAGTGTCAATTCTATCCCCTAAACCAAGATATTAATCATTAAAATTAAGGAAATGCTTTAATATTGATTAGTAAATATTTAATTTCAGATTTTGTATTAAAGATTGCAGAAGAACATTGTAATATAAATGTTAATATAATAAATGTTATGAATATTATATTACATAAGAATATTGTACTTAATATATTTTTTATATATTATTTACATTATAAATAGATCTCATTTTCTCAGAAATCACAAAATTTTGAAGTTTTATGTTCATTTTTATCAATGTAAATCAACTTTAATTTCGATTTAACTTTTTATTTTTTTCAACTTTAATAGAAAAAATTAAAAAATAAATTATACCGAGATTAAAATTAATTTACATTGCTAGAAAGGAAACATTAATTTACATCCTTCATATCTATTTCTATTTCAATCTAGATTAACTTTTTGATTTACTTTCAGTCTTTTTTAGTTGTAGTAATTGGAAAAAGATGAAAAGTTAAAAAATTAAATCGAAATTAAAATTAATAAATATTGATAATAGTGGTTAAAACTTTTCTTGTATTCATATTTATTAAATATTAACTACACTTTATGTAAACAAGTTTAAATGTATATTTTTTTGCACGCAATATTTAAATAAAACCATACAATATACAATCATACAATTTTAGAAAACTGATACGATTGGTAAATTGGTAAATTCAGTGCACAGGAGGTGTGTACATTTTAGGCCTGTTTTTTTGGCTGAACTGATTGTACTAGTTCATAGTTTATCTTTCTTTCTTACACTGGAAGAAGAAAGATAAACTCTGAACCATCATGCAGCCAGTTCAGAGAGTAAAAAGAACAGACTCTTTGTTGAAACGCAATTGCGATCACGTGACCAAACATAATCTCGCTCAGTCGGTTCAAGTAAAGTACACAAACATCAAAGTACAGTATATTGGAAAAGAGGTAGTTTAAGGGATTCTGTTTTATGTTATAACCCAAGAATAAGGTAAAGACACTTATCGCTCTTTATTTGAAGGAGACTTTCCAAAAAAAAAAGGTTTTATATTCCAACATTGCATCGCCATTCACAAACTGATTAAAGGTAAAATTGCGCGGTTTTCGCGATTCGACGATAAATTCATTGATTTGATCGACCTCACTGTTAGTTGAGGTCTCAAGTATCCACAAATGACTTTGTAATAAGTGCAACGTAGGAATCCAGTTTTCCTCGCGGATTACGCTCTTTCGTGAAAACATGGCTAAGAGAAGATCCTTGAATCGAATGAGCCAACGATATTCTAGGCGTAGATCCAGCAGTTCTATGCACTCTGGTCTTCTTAATCCGGATACAGAAATTCTGGACGAAGGTAAGAACATTTCCATATTATTACTCTGCTTTGTTACATTAACTGTTGTCAACAAAATGAACTTAAGATATCAACACATCCTTTTTTTGATAGAGAGAACATTTTGGTGGAATCATCTGCAGGATAGCGCGCAACCATCATACTCCTCAATTCTTGGAAATGAAACATCCAAATACTTAAATGCTGATTCAAGAGTGGATTCTGGTCAGAGTCGATCAGAGTGGTGGAAGAATCTGGAATCCTCTGACAATGAGCAAAATGTTTCAATAAATATACAGCGTAATTCGAGTGCAGGTATTAATCTATAAATAATTTAATCTTATGTTACAATATTTACAATATATATTGTTTTTTCAGCGATAGTAAAAGTCAATGTATTGCAAAGCTCGACATCTGAATCAGAAAAGGAGGTTGATTTGAAAAAGACAAAGGTTTATTTAAAAGCGGGAAATAGAACAAGTACTGCTGGTAGCAGTGTCTTTCTAAATGCTCTGGATGATGCTGAGATAGCTAGTCCATCAACATCACGGATGAAACTAACGAGTCGCTCTAATCTTCATGATGATTCAAACAGAGAAGTTTCACAAAGAAGATTACAAGAAGATGACGAGGATAGCAGTTTAATTGGAAAAGTTTTGAAATCAAAATCAAATATTTTTGATAAAAAAAGAAAGAAGAATACGGGAGATCACAATATCTTTCAAGAAATGTTGATAGAAGATGATGATTTGAATAGCAACCGCAAGAAAAAATCAGTCGCGCTTGAGAAGAAATCCTCTGAGCGTTTGAGGAATCAAGATATTGACACAGAAAGAGTATCTCAAACGATATCATCGAAAAATGAAACTGGTTCATTCAAACTGGCATTTTCAAATGTAACATCTGAAGATAATGCTAATAAGAGCAGCAGTGATAGCGACCGTAAAATGAAACCTAAATCCCGCTTTATACAACGCATGCGAAAAAGCGTGGGAACGAACGCTTTTGCAGATATTCTAAATGATAAGAATAGCATAAGTTCGTCTAATCAGAACAAGGAAAATGATATTCGTGAATCTATAACGCCACAATCATTACTCAGTCCTTCAGAAAGATCTGTTAATAGATCTAAAAATGATATCACGCATGCAGAGTTATCAAATCTTCAAAATCTAAGATCTTCGAATGCAACCAAGAAGCAATTAAATGTCCCGGGACAAACAGAAGATGATATGGAAATAAACTCAAGCGAATCATCTTTGGATAAGAATGAATCCCACGGAAAAAGATCTTTTTTAAAGCCAAAATCAAGAATTTTAAAAAAGTTACGTAAAAGCTTAGCTAAGAATCCATTCGAAGAAATATTCCAGGAAAATGATGTTATCAGGAAGGATAATATATCAACTGCAGATAATCGCGTATCTTTAGAGCACGGTGAAAGTCAACTACAAACGAGAATTAGCCAAATAAACGAATTAGCAACTGAGAAGAGATCACAATCAAAAAGTAGAATTATGAATGAAGATGACATATCTTTAACGGGATCATCTAAGAAATCTGATGTATCAGAAAACAGAAGTAAATTGCCAGAAAGCAATATCGTGAATGAGTCAGAATCAATTTCACGAAAGAGTACAGCAGCTAAAACGCCAGAAAAACAATTTTTTGTTAGTCCTAAGTCCACTAGAAAGGAACGTACGCGTACAAATGTAACATCGTCTGTTGGCAGGAATATTGAAGAGGTAATAGAATCTGAGATTATAAGCGATGATTCAAACGATAATATAGATGTAGAACTCAATTCAAATGTGTCCAAACGATCGTCTAAATCATTTCCTAATAAGGAAGTTCGCTTTACGCGTAACAGTTCTAGAAATCGATCTGACACACCGAAGTTTGCAAATATGAAAGAACCTGAAATTTCTAATAATCTACATAATGATATAGATGTAGAAAATGATTCGAATACGTCTGAAGAATTAAGTCTTAATAAAAAAACTCGTTTAACGCGTAAAAGTTTAAAAGATCGAGCTGAAACACCCAAGCCTATGAATAAAGAAGTACATGGAATTTCTGATTATTCACACAATAATCAATCAAATAAAGAATCGGATGTGAATACGTCTAAACGATTATCCAAATCAAGTCCTGATAAGGAAGCTCGTTTAACGCGTTACAGTTTAAGAGATCGATCTGAAACACCCAAATCTACGAATAAAAAAGCACATGAAGTTTCTGATTATCTACGTGATAACACAAATGAAGAACCGGCTCTGAGTGTGTCTAAACGATTGTCCAGCCCTAGTAAGGAAACTCGTTTGAGTCGTCGTAGTTTAAGAAATCGTTCTGAAACACCGAAGCTTGTAAATAGGGAAGAACATGAAGTTTTTATTCACACACATGATAACGCAAATATAGAACAAAATTTAAGTATGTCCAAACGATCATCCAAATCAAGCCTTAATAAAGAAGCTCCTTTGACGCGTATTAGTTTAAGAAATCAATCCCAAGAAATATCAAAGTCGACGACTAATTTAGAATTGTCTAAACGATCTATAAACAGAATTGCTGATACTGAAAAAGAAGAAGAAGAAGAAGAAGATGATAATATAAATCTAAACTTGGAAATAGACACGGGTAATATTTCGAAACTGATAAGTTCTACGAGAATTTCTGCCGCTAAAAGTAGCGTAAGTATAAGAACACAAAAAAACACTATCTCATCAGTTGGTATGAAAATAATTGATGATGAAGATTCAGATCGTGCGATGCAAACAGTTGAACGAAATTCTTCTTTGACAAAGGGTGAAACAAGTAATAAGACAGCAAATCGACAGAGTTTAAATAGAATCAGCATGAAAGAAAACAGGGAAACTACAAAACGAAAAAGTTCGAATAAATCGCAGAACTATCACGTTACATCGATTAAATCGTCAAGTAAGAATGTTCCTTCCAATATTGATAAAATAGATTCATCTAAGGGATTGAGAAAGATAGATGATTTTTTCAAAATAAGACAATCCACAACAAACGAACAATCGGCTGATCGCGGGCAGAACATTCAAGTCTTCGATGAAGAGAAAATAGAGAAACTTAAAACGGAATTGGAGAGAATAAAAAACCGCGAGATGGCTGCAATGAAAATAGACCTCGCGAACAATAAGAAAAAATCTGAATTAACAGGACAGGTGAAATCTACGATGTTTAAACAAACTACGAAAAAGAAGTTACCCGCGAATTCTACAAAAGTAGTGGACAAAGCATTTTTAGTAAATGGAAAGGTGTATAAAGCACCGAAGCTTTCTCGTCCGAAGTATTGGGCCACAGATCGCCTTTACAAATTTCTATGGAACTGCATGGAGCCAAAGTACAAACTAGCGACAAGATTGAAATCCGAGAAGTTCGTACAGGAATTAGTCAAGGTAGTTTCTTTCGTTCAACGCCATAAGAAGTATGGTAATTATAAGGTTGCGGTGAAGGCTTTAATGAAGGAAATGGCTCGCTTGAATATCATTAATACTTGTAACGACTTTTATCATTTCTGTCAGGATTTTCTGCCGTATGAATTTCGCGTTAAAGTGGTACCCATGTTATTGCCTGGCAATACAATGAATATTCCCTACAATGCAGAAAGTCTGCACATTCCCTTACTCGATACCGAACGATTACGTCCGTAAACATAAAAGACATAATTACACAGACATAATTAGTGTGATATATCTTTTAAATTATATTGTTTACAATTTAAAATTAAGTGTACATACATGTAATCAATTTCTCTCATAAAAAAAATGTTCATATATTATAACGTTAATTGCTTGATATAATTGGTATATTTTTGATAAATGCAAATAGAGAAAATGCAGGAAATATTGTTTATTATACACAATACGCTTCATGTAAGTTAAAATATGATTATTATGGTATTTTTCAATAAAATATATAATATTGCGCATAGAAATAAAATTGTAGTTTCGAAAGACATGTATCCCGATTATTTGGAAGAGGGATTCTAGAGAGAAGTATTCATTCACTATCTTGCAATCTACGTCACAACTTCTTTATTCTCTCAAGTTTTGAACTCTACATGCAGCTCCGAAATTACATTGCTGATTCCTTAGTAAAAGTCATGATGCGCAAATATTTTCGATGCGATTGAATGCTCGGAATCACAGTTCACAATTGTATTTTGCTGATTTGTAAGAATCTTGATTTCTACGATTTCTTGCATTCTGGGAAATTTCAGAGAGTTCTTGGAATTTTATATGATACAATCTGTTTATATTCTTCTGAAACTTTTAGAAGAATATTGATCTTCGCAATTCGAAAGTCTGTACGCTTTTCAAAATACTGCGGTACATAAAATTAAATTCACCAACAATTTGAAATATTCCATAGATGAATTATTGAAATGAAAATTTTAAATTTAAGAAAAAATTATATATTATCAGAGTTGGGTAAATTAATTTTTTTTTAAACTAAGTTAAAGTTAATGTCTTATAAAATCAGTTACATTAAAAATTGCAGAATAAAAAATTATTTAATTAAGAGTTATGTTAAAATTAAATTAACTTAATTAAAAGTTAATTCTGAAAAACATTTATATTCAATTATATATCATAATTTGTTAAAATTTTTTATTACTTTAAATCATTACAATGTACAAATAAAAAAATTACAATCTGGAACAAAATGTGTAAATGTTCCATTTGATTGTTCGAAATATAGTTTCCCACTTTGAGTCTTTGATCTTCTACTCTGATCTTCTCATCTTAATCGATTAATATTACATGTTTATTTACTTATTCCAGTGTTACGTGCGCAAAATATATCGTTCACTTGTATAGTCACATTATACATAGATCTATTGTAATATCTCTGCGGTTATAAATATCCTAATCTCGTTTGCTCCGTACGACAATCTTTTCGCCCGAGTAAACAGTTCTTGTTTTCCCCGGCGTTCACAACAAAAATTATTTATGCTGCTTTATGACGCGGATAGGATAACATTAGGCGAATTATCAAAGATCTAGTCTAATGTTAAGTAATATGTAAAGGCTTTATTATAATCATTTCTTCTTAGGACTCATTTCCTTCCTAGAATTCAAATTTTCTTTCTTATTGCTGCAATTCCTCAGAAATAACAATTGTGACAAATTATTATTATTATTTGTGACATTTTATCATGGAGAGATGTGTTTTTAGCATTTCTTATGTGTATAAAATTTATTATCTTTATAATTTTAATAATTTTAATTCATTTTCTCGAACAGAGTAAATCGACGTTTGTATCAGTACATTTGATAAATTACAAGTAAGTACAAGTAGTACTAGTAGTAGTACAAATTATGCTTTTGCAAATTTTACTTCTTCATATTAACACTTAATGTTTATATAGTTATATTGCTATTTGTCATGCAAAATTCGATCTTTTTGGAATTTAAAATTTGCCTGGAAATTTATTCGTTTGACATATTTCGCCGATATATTAAATAAGTGTCGTCAAAAGCTCGTTTTAAGTACCGTAATTATACAAGCAAATGTATCACACTCGTTGCGTGCCGTGACGCGCCAACTTTGCAAATATTTGTGACAAATCGAACGTCGCATTGACGTAACGCCGCTCATGCAATTCGTGACGCGCTTGATAACGAAACTCGATAGCGTAACAAGGATCAAAGTTGTTCCGCTTCTAATTAAATAAATTTCGAATTTTCATTTTAATTTCCATTTTTAAATTTGTTTAAATAATACTCTTAAAGTTAATTAATCTCGGTCACCTTTGAAGTCTAATCTCTATGATAAAATGACAGTCTCATTTAGAAGCACCAGAAGATTTCTACTTTTAATTATTAAATTTTTATTTTAATATTTTTAATGAAAATTGTTTTTTATGTAATATTGTTTGATGAAGTTGATTAATCGCGCGAGGCATGCATACATACATACATACATACATACATACATACACACGCGCGCAACTTTCTATGATAAAACGGCGATTTTATTTAGACAGAAGAACCAGAATTATTTTACTTCTGATTATTAAACAAATTTCGAATTTTCGTTTTTTAATATTTTTAAAGTTAAAAATTCTTTTAAAGTAACATTCTTATAGTTAATTAATCGCACACGTATATGTACGCGCATAATTTTGAAGTTTAGTTTCTATAATAAAATATATAGCGATCTTATTTAGAGAAAAGGACCAAAATTACTCTGCTTCTAATTATTAAACAAATTTCAAATTTTTATTTTAATTTTTTTATAAATAATATTCTTATACGGTTAATTAATTACACACACACACACGTACATATATGCGCGCGCAACTTTGAAGTCTAATCTCTATAATGGAACGGTCGCCTCAATTAGGAGGGACTTATTTTCGCCGGGCCGCGATATTTGAGCGTGCATTTGTAGCCACGCGACACCGCCACGCGCCGCTCGTTATACCCCGTCGCCGATGGCGATTGTTTCCCCTCAGCCCCGCGAAAAATGATTGCCGAGTCCGCGCTGTCGGGCGACTGGACGCATTGCAATTATTGCAACGCAACGAGTGAATCATGAATGAGCGACGAGAGACTCGCCTTTGCAGAAACCCGCGCTCGGCATTGCGCCAGCATTCGCATGTGAACTTTTGACGATCCAAGTCCACGACGGACCGAACCTTGAGGCGGAGTACATACGTCATATTCTTACGAAAATCTTTTTTTCTTTTTTTTTCTTTATTATTCTTTCTATCTATATTATTTTACGTTCGTGAATGACGATCGATGAAAAGTTGACGGGGGAGGAGGGGGATTTCTCGAGACCGCCGAATAATTAATTAAGTAACCGAGGAACACTCGTTATTTTAATCCGGAGGGGGAGGGAGTGAAATCTTTCCACGGTCAGTTCGTGGCAGCATCGGGTATGCTCGTATGTTATGACAATTATGAGTTTTCTGTAGGGCCACTCGGGGGTGGCACGTGGCCGACGACGCGCGTCGGGGAGAAAGGGGATCCATAAGGGGGTACGACGCGGCGCGTGCCGCCGCGTGAGAACGACCGCGATCACACGCGTCACACGCACACGACGTGTGTGTGTGTGTGTGTGTGTGTGTGTGTGTGTGTGTGTGTGTGTGTGTGTGTGTGTGTGTGTGTGTGTAGAAGGAGAGAGAAATAAAGCGTACTCTATTCCCGGGGTTTACTCGCACTCGTTTTCGACTTCTCGATGCATTCTCTGAAGCACCGATTAAATTTCGTTTCGAGTGCTCCTCTTTGGACCATTCACGTATTATCGATCAAAGAATAATTTACTGTTTGGATAATGCATTTATTAAAAAGTAATTTTGCATTTATAATATTTTATAGACAATTCTAAGGTTCTGCGCGCAAGAAAATATTAGGGACAGGAATAAATATTAAATTTTGAAAGATAAGTATAAGATGTGCGTGCGTGTGTACGTGCGCGCGCGCGCGTGTGCATGTGCGTGTATAGCTATATATTTACTGGTGTCCATTGTATTACATTTAACATTTATTCCTGTTCCTAATATTTCCTCCATTGTGCAGGGCTTAAAGAACATACAATTTTTCTGTGTTGAATTTTAATAAAAATGCACTTACATTTAATATTCCTTTTATTTATATTTAAATATAGTATATTTAAATGGGACTATCACGAGAGTAGACACGAAAGAACTGATGACATTTAAAGCATTTAATGACATTTCTGCGTGCAAAATTTTATTTCGCAATAGAGATCGTTAAAAGGTGGACGTTTGACATTTCGTAATCGAAAAGCAGGAAAACGAGCGAAGAGAACGAGAATTACTATAAAATTAGTAAGAATCTTCAAGTGCTTAACATTCTTTAAATTAATAACAGAGATAAACGAGATTACTGTTGAAAATGACGTAGGAAGCTTTGCGGGCAATAAAATTGCAAAATTTCGCTGAAAAACGTATAAATATGTTACGTCGGGTTAATTAAAAAATTTATCAAAAGTAACGAGTTGGCGGTACATTTTATGTATATGGAACACAGTGCGTGCGTGCGTGCGTGCGTGCGTGCGTGCGTGCGTGCGTGCGTGCGTGCGTGTGTGTGTGTGTGTGTGTGTGTGTGTGTGTGTTTATGCGTGTGCCTGCGCTTTACACGCGTATGTGCTTGAATTTTCGGTGAACGGAGGCGAAATTGTTGTGGTAAACCGCCGACGAGTGCAGCCGCCTTTATCGCCGTCCTTTAATATACTTTGTCCACAATTTTCTTTTGCGAATTCTCCCGTTTCACATCCGACAGCATCTCGTAAAACGTTTTCCTACGTGTGATAGTGCACGTGCGTGCACGTGCACGCGTATGCACGCGCACACGTCGATTTGTGTTTCGTCCTTAGTTTTATGCATGTTTTATGCACAGTACAGGTGTACTCGATTTCCACAACGGAAGACATTTCCGCAATTAATTATTCACGAGAAATGTAAGTTAATCAATCGCGTCCGGTTAATTGAAATCATGCTGAAACTTTCGATTTACGCACGAAACAATTTTGCTGAAAAAATTAAAAATTAAAAATTTAAATATTTAAAAATTTAAAAATTTGACTAGATACAAACTGTAAGAATAATTTTGTGAATTTTCAAATTGATTGCTAGAATATTATGTAGAATATATGATTAGCAAAATATTTTATTAAAAGTATATAAAAGCGCTATTTTTATGATCACAGAAAGAGAGAGAGATCTTGGTATTTAATAATTATTTCTCAAATTTACATAGGCTTTGTTAATTATAAATATATAATATAATATAAATATAAATATATAAATTCAATGTTTTGTTGTTTTTGCTATTAATTATCATTACGTATTATTATGGATATACGACGCGGATATAATTAAGCAATGCCAGAAATATATATTTCCTTTAATATTTCGATAAACAATTTAATGATGTAGATTTAAAATTCCTTACCGAAATTAATTGTCAGAATATAAAAAATTTTCATGCAATATTTTCATGCTTTAAGCGTCCTACATATTTTTATTATTTAATGAAATTATTTTCAGGTCTGTTTTCGGTAAATTTTTATATACTCCAGCATTTCAATATCGTCAAATTGGATTTCTTTCGGATGTAATGCCGCACAATCAATCTCGTGTCAATTTTGCAAATATTCCTTTCTTATGCGAGAGAAAAATAATGACATGATATAAATACAATTATATATAAAGGTTGTTACTTAAATGAGTTAATCGACCAGAATCGCGGTCCAATAAAATTATCATCGTTTTGTCAATCAGCGATTGCCTCTCTCAATGATTTTCTCGTTCAATCATTAGTGCATTAATCCAATTCGTTCTTATTCTTGCCTCTAATCCCCACGGATCATTGAGCGCTCTTTCCGCCTCGCCGCACAATGCACCGCAGCGCGGATTCGCACGCACGCGTGTGACACGCATGCACGCGTATTCCTTATCGAATTGTGCATTGATTAATCGGCACCCCCTCTCACCCCTGATTGCGGACAAATAGAAGGCGTCTCTTTTACTCGTTACTTGTAATCGTCACCAATGTTCCTTCTATTGCAATAAAATTTCACAATATTTTTATATTTTATTATCTTTTTACGTATTTTGATAAACGCGAATAAAAAATGTAAGCGTGACTTCACAAATATATTTAATTAACTGCTTATGCTTTGTTTATATTAACAACAGCAATTTCTCTGTTAATAATAAATTAACAATGAATGAAAGATGAATTTCAGAAAAACAAGAGAAACAGATGAAATTCGAAAAATTGTAAAAACTGCGTGATAATTTGATTAGCGTAAATATACGTCTCGTTTTAATACAATTTGACCTATATTTTTCATGGGCAAATAAGTTCTCGGATATGCATTTAACGATTTTTATTTGTCGAACTTTATCCCAAAATGAATGGACGAGTAATAATTTCAGGAAAAGCAAATTTAATTCTCTGAAAGTAAGAAGAAAAAAAAACATATAAAAGCATGATAAAAAGAAAAAATCCAAGAACTTACATTCTTTTATCTTTCAAGAAAAATTAACCTGACCATTCGATATAAAAAATTTCATAAAATTTAGTTAAAATTTCTCGATTTCTTTTCGCAGAAATTCCACAAAATTTAATTGGAATTTCCTCAATTTCTTTCTTAAAAATTTGGAATAAACTTTAATGGAATTGTTTGGATTTCGTGGAAATTTTCAAAAATTTCACAAAATTTAGGAAAATTTCACAAAAATTACAAGAAATTTCAAAAAATTTTTATCAGGATAGAATTACTGAGTTAACTTCTCTCTAATTAAATCGGTCAAAATGTGAAATTCGCTCTTTGAAAACGCCCTTTCCCGAAAAATCCTCAATCGTAATGCACGGATTTGTGTGTATAACGCCGGATGCAATTTACGAAATGTCACGTAAATAGACATTCATCCGCCGCATTTAATACCGGCAATTAAAATCAACCTGATCGGAAGGGCGGCGTTGCCAGCGGAATGAAAATTACTATTGCGTCAAGCTAGACGTAATTACCGGTCGCTCATTAGTCTCTAACTCCGCCGAGGGTTAACCGCCTCTAGCACGCCTCGGGCTCGGATGCGATCGCGGGAGCTCCGGAAGTCTTTCGTCCGAGAGGGGTGGGTAAAGGGAGAGGCGGGTGATCGAAGGGGTTGGGGTACGGGCGCCGTAGCGGGCGCCGTCGCGGACGCACACCGTGTGCTCGGGGATGATCGTGCGGGATCGCAGTCGGCGAGAATATGGATATATATATATATATACGCGACATATACGCGATATACGGGGCGCCGCCGGTCGGGGGTCATAAATGGGGAGGCGCGGCACTCCGGAGCGGTATTTCGTCGCGTGACGCCGTGGCGTTCGCATCGATTCGAGGCGACGTAGAACGGCGCGAACGTAGACGGACAAGGGCGGACAAGAGAGGCGCACGGCCGAAAATCAATCCCGGCTCGTGGGATCGGGTTGCTCGCGGCTGCGGCGGCGAGAAACAACGGGGGTGGTTTTCCACGGGGGTTTTCACGAGAGGAGCAACGACGACGTTCGAAGACGAGAGAAAGACGGCGAGACCTGCCGCGATGCTGAAGAAATTACTCGGCAAGTCCGGCCGCAGGATCTTGCGGGTAAGCAGAGCCCCGTCTTTTAACGGGAGAAACATTCGACCCTCTTCAACCCTCCGACGTGTTACATGTACACGCGCACGCACGCACACAGGCACGCACGTTTCAGGCGCGTGGTGCGACCCAGTTTCCACCGAGAGAGGCCGGTTTCCGCTTCGCTCCCGATGAACGGAACTCGAAATTCCTTCGTCGCATTCCTTGCCGTATCCTCCTCCCCTCCCTCATTCTCGTTCTACGATGAAATCTTAAGAGGCGCACACGTTGTAAAGGATTAATTCGGTTGCTGTCTACGTCATTCCGGCTGGGCGTGAAATTTCCGCGCGCGACGATCAATTATCGCGGATCGATGTTCTTACGTGTTGTGGCACAATTCCGAGTCGGCGGATAACTCTATCGTAGAACCGAACAATACGTACAGCCGCGGTGACCTTTTCCGTGTACGCTTCTCCTTTTTCTTTCTCTCCTTTCTCGTCTCTTTCTCTTTTTTTTTTTCTTCATTTTTCATCTCACTAATCGGAGCGGCGCTTCTCTCTGCGTAGGCGATTAAGAAGTTGTCCACCAGGAGCCACAAGGCCAAAAGGTCACGCAACCCCAGCTCCTGGCACACGGCCATCCCGGACCTCGAGACGACCTCGCTCTCATGGTCCCTGCCGTCCTTGGACGCCAAGAGCATCGACACGTACATGACGTACGTGGGCGAGAATCAGGAGGACTGCACGTCGAACTGTTGCTGCTGCGAGTACGAGGAGAACCAGAGGAACGAGAACCGGGAGAACGAGATGATAATCTAACGTTCGTGCCGCTAGGCGACCCCCGGTCTTGCTTGTCTCGCGATCGAATTCGCCGGCGATTTTCCTCCGAGGGGGTGGAAAGAGTGTCGGCTCGGTTTCCCCTCGAGAGAGGGTGGAAAAAGAGTCGGTCGCACGCGCGTCGAATTCGAAACGAATTATTTAACCCTTAACTGGTGAGTACGAGTAGCTCGTCCGTCGCTTCTTTTTCTTCCGTTCTTTTTTTTTTTGTCCCGCTCCCCTCCTCCCTCCCTTCCCCCCACAAAATTGGTCCGTAACTACGACCGTGACGGTAGCCGGAACGACGGCTCTGTCAAAGGGAATATCCAATCTGCAACCGGTTAAGGGTTAATCACGATCCCTCCGTAATCCGTTCCACGTCATACACACGTACATGCACATGCACACGCACACTTACACGTAACATGGGGAGCGCTACCATATTTTTCGAAATGCGTGTCGTATATCAAGAAGATAAAAGGAGCTCTGTGGCTGGACCTCGGATCATATGTTATAACAGTATCTCGATTCCTACAGCGTATAATCGAGAGATAAGAATGCGGAGGAGAGACGAGACGTTTTATTTTCCCAGTTAGTCTTCCAGTCTAGATTTATTTTCTAGCGCCGACTTAATTTTTTTTTCTCTTTTTACAGCGCGAGTGGCTTTTTACGCGGCTCGCGCTCCTCCCCGATCTCACTTAGCGTTGTTAATTTTACAAGATAGATGTACTTTATTTATTTCGTTCTTATCGCAATAATTGAGTCGGCCGCGATTGCGGGCGCGATTGTTTATCGATTAAATTGGTCCGCTCGTAATCGTAGCGCCGGCCGTGTTTTCTCTCTCTTTCTCTCGTTCCTGATTTTGTACAAGTGATGAAAAGAGCGGCGCGATATTCTGCGCATCATCGTCTCTTTCGATATAGAGAATAGCAATATGTGACGTAGTACAAAAAAAAATATACATATATATATATACACACACATATATCGCCTAGCGTGTATCGACGAACGTTTGCGGGAGAATGACGTCCGAAATACGACAGGACTTTTCCATCCGTCACTCGCGCGGTTTTATCATATCGGGTCTAACTCGTGGATCACTATTTTGCAATATACTGTTTTCGGTGTCACGAACCGTTTTTAGGTAATCAATTATTTACTCTCGGGTCTGTACACACGGACGTGTATGCGAGACCTTTTAACTGTCCGACTGTCCATTTCGTACCGATGTCTATTAATTTTAATCTCGGTTTAACGCATCCTTTATTTTTCTCTAATTTTTAGAATTGAAAAAAGAAAAAAAAAAGATAAAAAGCAAATTAAACCGATATTAAAATAAATCTCTACATTGATAGAAATGGACAGGTAATTTATATCTCTAATTATAAATCTCCGAAGGGATTTCGGGAAATGTTTAGATTAGCGAATTATTAGAACGATAATCATAAGATAATCTTAGGGTAACGAAGAAAATTAAATTATTTACTTTTTCAATCAAACTTCTCGTGCACTGACACATATCTCTCTGCGGCACTTGGCGTTGTATACGTATCGACGAATCAAAATAGAGGAAGAAATTTTGATCGAGTGAGAAATAAAGTAAGAGTAATTCGATCGAGTCTCGAATAGGATGTACACTTCGATTATAATTAGTACCCATTTATCGGAGACACGAAGATATTGCGAAAGGGGATTCGACTTTCCGAATTCGATGTCGTCGATTACTTTTATGCCATGTAAATCGTTCTAGGTGTTTCGCGCGGTCAAGGTGCACCCGTTAGATTAGCTAGCTGAGATACCAACTGATCCTTGATACAGGTAAACTTATTAGATTTCAATTCTTTAGAGAGGAGCATTTCGTGCTTCTTGCAAGCGACTTTTATCTTCACACCTCACCGAGAATCAATTTACACGAAACGGCCCTTTCGAGTAGAGTTTACTTTGTATTTATCTCCCGCCGAGGAGCGTATCGAGGATACTTACGCAATAAATCGCACCGGCCTGATCATTCGAACCGAGTTCTTCTATTTCCGATTCCGTTTTTTCCGGCATCTTTGCTCAAAGCGCGCAGAGCCGATCTTCACTGGAAAAAAAAAAAAACTTAGCGAGAATGCGTTTTCGATTCTTCCTTACAGGTTGACTCGTAAGAGGAAGAACAAAAGAAGAGCTTTAATGACTTATATCTTATATATGTATACATAGATGCAGAATTTATATATATACACACATACATGTACGAAAAAGAGGAAAACCACAAATATGGATGATGCGTGTTGATATACTTTATCGTCTCGATAAGGCTGTGACTTTGTAAAGAGGATGTGAGTGTCATAAATAAAATGGTTTTATTGACGATCTCGGACGTATTCCCATGACCCTTCTTCCCCCCCCCCCCCGTTATCGGATTTCATTGATCGCGCGACGTGTAAAAGTAATATTACACGTGCACATACGTGCACAATACTTGCTGGTAGTATCATGCAGATACCCGGATATCCTTCGTTTGAATTGGTAATGACATCGATCCGCGCGATTTTCTCATTACAACGGTGTGTGTAACGATCATCCCGCAAACATGTAATGAGAGTTAGTTATAGTTGGCCAACTATATAGTCGTCTAACGCCGTAATTCTGCGTCGTTTCTAATAATGTTTCGACGACACGCTGCTCCACTTTCACAAATGTTCATACAACGATGGCTTATATAGCATATGGCACTTAATGATTTTCGCGATATCTCTATTTATGCTTGCGCCATTCTTAGAGACCTGTATTTTTCCTTTCAACGTCGATCGCGATCAGGCTTTAATGTGCAGTTACAACTTCGAGCCTCTTTTCTTTACATTTTTCAATTCTCAAGAAATCGTGAATTTCTAAAACAAAGATTCTCTCAAAAATCCTTTAACACTTGATGCATCGAGAGGTTATTTCTGACTCTTTTAAATTAATATCTCTTTTCTCGTAATAAAAATACGATTTTTGTAACGTTCCATTAATTATGCTCCTTATTCTGATGGAATATTAAAGTAAAAAGTAAAAAGATTAAAAAGTCTTATCCCCAATAAACACAAAATAACAATGTTAACGTTAATGTTACAATTTTTTACTCAACAATGTAATTGTTATATTCAACATATATATTATATTACATTCATTTTGCTGAGAAATTATAATATTAACAAATATTATTGTCACTTTATGCCTATTGGGATGTTAAAGAGATATAAAAAAAAAAATATTAATTTGAAAGAAATAAAAAGGATCAGAGATAATCGCTTGCAATTTCTAGTTTTAAGCCGTTCTCTTCAACATTCGCTCAAGATTTTTAAAAGAAAAGAATCTGTTGCAATATATATTCCCAAACAAATTATCCGTTTTATATGCCGTCACAGTTATCTTGACTCAATTACGATTTTTCCTAAAGCACAAATCGCTCGCGAGTCTAATGTAGCGAGTCTAATGTAGGTCGAAGCGGTTCGTGCCACCGACTCAGAAAAAGACCGTTTTCGCCTCGCGTTAATCCGATGAGCGGCGTCAAGAGATTTGACAGACAGGCGACCACGTGGGTCGCGTTTCGCGTGATTGCGCGCGCGTGCGACTCGCGGGAAGATCGCGCGTAACGAGCACGTCCCGAACAATGGGGAGCGCACGTGGCCGCATGCTATCCCGTAATTCCCGAAAATTGGGTTTCGTCGACGCCGAGCGTCGAGCGAGGAGCGTCCGAGAACAAAAGTAGCCGCGTTGGACGGAGTTTGTTAAAAAAGTAAAAAAGAGAGAGGAAAGGAACAAGAAGAGGAGAAAAAAAGAATGAGCGCGGGTGCACACGCGAACTGTGTCGCGAAGCTAATGACTCGCAAAACTGGTTTGCGAATATAATGCTTAAGGGAAGGGTCGGTAAGCCCGGCATTGTTCTACGTTTGCGAGAATATTTCGCGTTTACGAAAGGGAGGTTTTGCATGAGAAAAGGGCGTCTCTCTCTCTCTCCTCCTCCTCTTCTCTCTCCTCTCTCTTCCTCTCTCTGTGACATACTCGCTCTCTCTCTCTCTCTCTCTCTCTCGTCCGCAATTCCGTGTCGCTTCTCGAGCGAGATACGGACACGTGAAACGCACAAAAGCACGCTCGTTTGTCACGTGGAACAATGTGTGACGTGGAGTACGACGAGATTAGGTGACCCGTCGTTATTTCCGCCATACCAGTAAATATCAGAATATCTTTTATTTGACAATTTTTACAAATTTTTTTTTTAAGAGCGAAATCGTTAAAGCTACTTATATTCGGGACACGAGGGACACATCAACTGTGAAAATCGGTCGAGGATTTTTAAATGTAAAACGAATATATTTGTGCGACCGAATGTATTTCTTTTACTTACGAAAGCAGACCAATTAGGGCTGCCTGTGATAAGACGGAAGAGAATAATCGCAACCGGAAGTCTTTCCAAACATGATCGCTGCTTTCGTCAATTCGAAAGCACGTGCTTCCGATCGTAAACAGATTGCATAATAGATAGGACGCGTAAACATCGAGAGAATATATTTGGGGGCGGTATCAAGTGCTTAGATTCTGCGAATGATGAATGAGGGTGCGTTTGTGCGAAATACTCGATTTATAGCGTCTTCTTTCCTTCAATGTATTGATTATTCAACAAGAACTCAGTTGGATCTCAGTTTCCCGCAGTTCGTATTCTCATTACGAATGATTCTCGGAATACACATCCGAGATTGGATTCTCTTGGTGGAAAGTGCAGTGGGGGAGGGAGAATCACAGGCGAGACAAGATTCTATATTTATATTCCTCGTGTTATCGCTTTATTATAAAATCGTATTGCAAAAATACTTGGATTTCTCCCACACGTAGTATACTGAAATGCGTAATGGCACGTTGCGAATGCGTATGACGATCGTTTCGTTCTTTTCTTTTTTTTTTTGTTTTCCTTTTTCTCCTTCTTTTCTCCCTTCTCTTCCTTCCTCTTTGCGCCGCGGCGCGCTGGACTTTACACGCTCGCGCAATCGACTTTATCGCTCGGCGACGAGCGCGATTGGGAAGCGAAACGGCGGCATCGCGTAAAAAAACCGGTGTACAGCCGGTTACAAGATTTCCGATAAAATCACGGACGCATAATTCTCATTATTTACAAAAACATTATGTACAATCTATATACAATCTTCTTTCCTATTAATAAATATTCTTTTAATTAGGTACCTGTATGACTATCATTGTCTCACTCATTGAAAATACATCGATATATAAAATTTGGTCGTTGCGGAAGTTCCTGAGATATGTTCAAAATGATAAAATGTCGTATACAAAAATCGTACATCCTACGTACACGAAAGCGGCAAAATTCGCCGCTCACGTTGGTCTTGTTTCATACGATTGTAACAATTAGATCTGTCAGTCGCATATAAATATTACAAATCACTTCACTATTAACAAATCCTCGGAAAAGATGACAACTGACTTATCAACATGAGCACGCTGCCGCCATAATTAAATCTTCTAAGAAAATCGATCGGCAAAAGAGTGATATAATTTATATTCTCTCCCATTTTGTGGAAATATCCGATACAGTCTTCAGTTATTTATGTTTTACTGCATTCTATGTATAAAATTTTCCAAAAAGAGGGAGAGAAATTCTGAGATCGCATGAAATTGTCATCATTGTTCCGGCTTATACCACCCTCGCGCCGAACCTCGTCATCGATCGAGAATTCACGGTCAGTACGCCAGTTCCGCGCCCCAAGGTCGATAAGGCTTCCCGTGTTGCTGCTGGGGATACTGACCCGGGTACTGACCCCAGCCAAGGGTACCGCCGCCCAGAAGGGGCGGCATGCTCCCCGGACCGGGCGGCATCCCGGCGGATATCGTGTTCGGTGGCGGCTCGTAGCTGCTGGCAGTGGAGGTGGACGTAGGTGCCGAGGCTACCGCCGAGGGCACGGCCGACGGTGGATGCTCCCTGTGGAAGCTCTGGAGGTGTGATAAAAGACGCAGTCGAAGGGGATCCCTCTCGTCCAGTCCTTCCATGGTCACCAGGTAGCGACCCACCTCGGCGGCGCATTCGCCCCAGCCTACCGCGTGGTAATCCATGGCCAGCTTCGTGCTGTCGTAACCCTCTGGTCCTGCAATTTTAATTTTGATTATTACGTGCAACGGACCGATGTATAATAATAATTAAAATATGTACCAGGGAAGTTGAGAGATAAATTTATAAATGCAGCTCTGAGAAGCAGTCTCGGTAGTTAGTTAGGAGAAACTCGACTTTGAAGTTGATTCAACTCGAAGAGTTGATATGATTTAAGAGTTATTAGAGTTTAATAACTCGATCGTTCGTGTTTCGAAAGCATAAAATTACTGAAGAGAGATACAATATTCTTAGCATACATGAATATGAAAATGCGCTCGAGTTTTGAATTCGCTTTTCATAAATTCGGTTTCCGTAACATTTATTCATGATACAATTTAAAGTGTGAATCTCCATCTCTTTTCTTCCGGAAGATTATTTTCGGGAGGAGATGGAAAGCAGCCTTTGATGGGAGGCAGGTGTAAGACGACGATATCGCGGTTTTCCCAGCGCTTTTCCCCGAATTTCACGAATTTCGGCCCGAAATCGCGGATTGACAACGTGGAAGTGCATCTGCGGACGAAGAGGTCCTTTGTGCACTTTTGGTTTTCGCGGCATAACAATGGCCCGGCATACGTGCACCGAGGCGAGATGGGCGCCTTGGCTTTGGTAGCAGGCGGCTCATTGTGTATAATGCGGAATGGGACAGGTAGCGTGGGAACCGTTTAGACCCCCATAGGCCTCATGGGCCTCGTACGAGATATACACGCACACCGTGAACAAGCGGAGTTGTCCCACATTATTATGCAAGTCCTTAGACCGCCCTGTGCAAACATCACTTACAAGAGAAAAACCAATCGCGTATCGTACAGCTCTCGTACGTCAAATCATTGTGCAATCGATCATCGCTGAAATCTCGATAAGTGATCTCGAAAAACTGCGGAAATGTTTATGCGAACCGGATACGTTCGTTTACTTACATTAAAACAAAAGTAAAGAGAATTAAAGAAGTAAAGAAGTGAAGAGATAAAAATGTCGAGCTCGAGAATATGAACTCTTTTTTTGCACGTTATTATAATAAAATATAATATAATATAAGAAGATTCTAAGATTCTATTTTATAGTTAATTTGAAATTAGCAAGCGGTAACGAGGCCATCGTCATCGAGATGTAATTCGTCTCGAATGCTGTATGTAAATCGCTCGCCGTCGCTCTCTCTCGCCGGTCGAAAAACGCCGCGATGGTTCTTTTTTTTTTTTGGCGATATTAAATTTAATATCGCTCACTTTTGGGGACGCGTCGCGCCCCTCGCAGGCATCTACAAATAAGGAGGCCGCCGCGAGCGACTCGCACACACATACATACGCACGCACGCACGCACGCACCAACGTGGTGGTGCGATGCGTGTCCGTGCACACTTATGCGTAGCTAGTTGGTTTCCCACAGGGTTCGACATCTGCCCCGAGGCTCGATCCGCCGAGCGCCTCCCTCGCGAGGGGTGCGCCGCGCGGGACACCTCATCCCCGGGCTCGCCGCCACCAATCGTGGGAACGCCACTTCCAGAGAGTCGTTGACTTCCTGTGCTTCCCACAGGATCTACGCGCCCGGTCCAGCACCTGCTCCCGTTTCGCGGCTTTCACGGGAAACCATATGCCATCTTGTCTTGCGATTTCCTCCGACACTTTTCTCTTCGAAAATATTTTTCATCGACCGACCGTGCGATAACGAGAGAAAGAGAGAGAAAATAAATAAAAAAATAATAATTCATATTAATGAAAAACAAATATAACTTGTTGTTGCTGAAACAATCGATTTAAAAAAAAATGGTCGGAAATGAATTTTTTTCGAAAAATATATTTAATTAAAATTCACAAGTTAATTAAATTATATTTCTGTTTAACTTTTTCAAAAATGCATGGGTACTGATAAAGTGATCATTTAGATTTATTCATATCGGAAATATCGAAAGATATTGCAAGGAGAGATATTTACAAAATAAGTAAAGTTCGAGAAATGTTGCGAATATTAATCTTAGAAATCTTATCGAATCCTCACTGATGATCGCTCTCTCGAATCTACCTAATAAGGAAACGCAGAGAGGGCAGATGGGCAATCGGTTACACAATTACAGTTAGCGCGCTGTTCGCCCTTACGGCCAACAGGTGTCTTCCGGTGGGAAATAAAGGGCTGATATAGCGCCCCGGCGAACAGAAAGACGTAATAATGGCGTAAGAATCAAATCGACGGGAGTGTTGTGTGGACAGCCCTCGTACACATAGCGAAAATATTAATGAGAGGCCTCGTGGAATCTCGAGCTGAGAAAAGGGGTGTCTTATTGATCGAGGAGGATCGTCTTCGCATTCCGCTACGCGTTCCAACGGGAAGGGGTGTTTCTTCCGGAATTCGAGGATCTTATTACTCAACACCGTTATATCTTCCTTTTTATATATACTTCCGTTACGTAACTTCCCGCGTGAAGCAAGAAATTCCGAACGATTTCCGAACTTGATCTTGATATTACTCATAAACCAATTAAAACTGCTCCTTTCCTATCGCTCCAATTTACCTCAACTCAAATTATTCCAAATCTTAAATACAAATAATCCTACTTACTATTCTACAAGATTGAGAAATAAAAATAAAACATCTGGCAATACTCGTGGCAATGATAACGATTAAACGAGATCGCGGCCGATTCGCGAGCGTCTTAATTCGAGCGGCACAGAAATGAAAGGGGGGGAGAAGGAAGTGCGATCGCGTCTTACCCTTATTGCGAAGCGTGCGCAGATGCTCGACGGTGAGCTGCAAAATCTCGGCCTTCTCCAGTTTTCCGCTGTGAGGATCCCTCGCAGCCGCCGGGACCAATCTCCTGAGCTCGCTGAGGGACGCATTGATCCTGTCGCGACGCTTCTTCTCGATCATTCCCCTCCTGCGTTTCCGCGACGCGTGCTGGCATGAGTCTCCGCCGGGCGAGTTGCATCTGCAACGGGAATTTCGAGAAAGGGTTGAGAGACACAAAGGGGCGTCAAGACTTCCTTCCGCCGTTTCCTCCTTTGTTCGGGATTTTGCGGTGCCGCCACGAGAGGACTCGTTTTAATTGTACATTGTTGATCCGGCGCGACAACCCGCTTATTAATTACGTCCGTCTTGAAACAATGCCGTCCTGATTGCGATTTTATCGCGGAAACAAAGAGGCATATGTTCCGCCGGCAAGCGACCGACAAGGACAATCCTCCGAAGGACAATTGTTTCAAGTACGTTGAAAAGAAGGAATAGTTTATCAATATATTCAATTTCATCTTGGAAAAAGCCTGGAAGTGCCTCGTCGGTTTTGCAAATTGTTTTTTTTTTCTTCTCTTTGGGAAGTAATTTAAATTTCAAAAGTTGCATCGTGACACAAATTGAATTATTCAATTTTTTTTTAAGCAATGAACGTATCAAATTTTTTTCTTAAAAAAAAAAAAAGAAAGAAAATAAAAAAATAAAAAAGAAAAGAAAATAAATAAATATACGTACGGTTCCTTGCCGCTTTCCTCTGAGAACACATCGTCGCAGTCTGAATCGCTCATGGTCCTCTTCAGATTCCTCTGCTGATGCCCCTGACTTTGTTGCGACTGCTGCTGCTGCTGTTGCTGCTGCTGTTGCTGTTGCTGCTGCTGTTGTTGTTGGCTATTGTCCTGATTTCTCAATTCCGTGTCGATTTTAAGCTCCAAGTACTCGTGACTGGGGCGCAGCTCCGATATGTCCGGCCTCATGCCTGATATGTCCTGATGCCGGACGTCCTGGTGCCTGGCGATGTCGTGTCTGGATAGTTCCTGGTGTCTCTGTACCTCCTGATGCCTTTGCATCTCCGCTGGGTGTCGCAGGTCCGATCGTTGCATCTCATGTCGCAGTTCTTGACTCCTGAGGTCACCGGGGACGGCGGCGGGATGCCGCAGCTCGCTGTGAGTGGCGGGCGGACGCATGTCGTGATGATGACGCATATCTGGATGCTGAGAGGGCGGTTGATAGGGCGAGTGATGCGGCGGTGGCGGGTAACCCCAATGATGACCTGACGGAGGTGCCGACAGCGTCGTCAGGTGACTAGGCGCGACAGCGCCGGAAGTGATTTCGGAGGACAGCAGGGTGCTGTTGTCGTCGGAACGCGCTACCACCACCCGCCACATGTTGCGCTCGAGGGTGAGGACGAGTGGAAGAAATAGTTGGTGGACCGAACGGGCGGATCGACGTGATCGATGCGCGGTCAACCACCGTAAAGTCGACTGTAAGACCTCGAAGAGACGCGCGATTGATCTGATTCCTCGATCATGCGCTATCGTCTAATATAATATATCGATCCCATAACGATGGACGGGATATGTCATTGCAGCCGCATTATGATGTCGCGATTGAGGGTGTCAGTCGTTAGAAATCCTCGATAAACATCGACTGTTCGGCAAAGACAAGAACCGCGTCCAGGTGTCACTGATAATTGAAACTCACAGGCGAGATCGTTGTCATCAGATGAACATAACGTAGCGTTTTGTCTTTCTTTTCTTTTTATAAGCCTATAATTTCCTCGTCTATTTAATTGACATTCGTTTGTACTCCGATCACAAATAACAGTTGATCACTCTCCGTTTGTAAAAAAAAAAAAAAATACTTTTGAATTTCTGCAAAGATCACTCGATCTCTCTTTGCATGATCTTCCAACTGCTGATTCAGAAATACAGATCAAGATTCTTGCAAAATCCACAAAATTCTCTCGTGTATTCTTGTCCTTCCGTGAATTAAAAAAAAAAACACTTTGGCAGGGTGTACTAAAAAATAAAAAAAAATAAAAAAATCCAGAAGATCCAAGCTCGAGATAATTTCTTCGCGGATGACAAAAGACTTCGCGCGGTGATGTTTTGTGAAACTCGACGAATCTTGCGGAAGGTCAGGGCCGCGCGACGGGATGCGGTTTCCGGACGGCGAAAGGAGCAATCGGTCCGTCGGCCGCACTTGTCTCTCTCGGCGGCGGGAGTTTATCGGCGCTCACGTGCCGCGGCTACCCGCGACGTCGTCGCGGTCGCGTGCGTGCTCGTGGAGGAAGAAACGCGACTGGCGCACTCTCGGCTATTGCCACGGGTTGCTGCCGTTGCTTGTTCGCTGCTGCTGCTGCTGTTGTTGCTGCTGCTGCTGCTGCTGCTGCTGGATGTGCGTGTGCACTGGTCGCGTGGCGGCCGACGTATGTCGTGTGCGGGAGGACGTAGGGACGACACACGACCGCGTGGTGTATCGGCGATCCTGGTGGGGATGATCGGAGGTGTGCGCCCTCGGGATGGGGAGTGGGGCACCGGCGGGGCCCCGCGCCGTCCGTTCGAGGTGAAAAGCACCCCGCGCGCGGTGCACGGGAGAGAGCGAGAGGGTTGCCGTCGAACGGGGGGGACGTGAATCGGGAGGGGCGACTTTTTCGTGGGAACGTCCGCGGCGACTCGTGTGCGAACGTGCGTGCATGAGTGCGTGCGTGTGTGCGAGCGTGCGGGCCCTTGATTGTGCCGACCGCCGGCCGGATCCTGCGCTGCACTCGGTCAAGGAGACCAAGGAGGAAGCGATCTTTTCGCCGCCTGGCCGTCAGGCCGAGAGCGGATGTGCGAGGAGAAAGAAACCGGAAATGGTCCTTTTCGGTAAGGGCTTAATGTGAATTCCCCCTTTCCTCCCGTTTTCCGATATTACCAACATTATTTTTATTATTTTTAAAAAGGTTTTATCACTTTTATCTCTTTAAGATATTCGGCGCGATATTTCTAGTCTAGAACAAGTTTTTAGTTATTAAAAACTTCTACGTATATCATTACATTATATTCCGATAATTTTCCCCAAATTAATATTAAACGAGATTGTTTAAATAACAAATTTTAAAATACAACTTATTGAAATTTGAGATATGATTTTATTCAAAATTCATTATCAAAATATTTCATCATCCCTATGACCTTATAATGCCTTCGCAAATGGGGGGGGCTCCCTGTTTATTCACTCGAGGGACGGAGAAAGAGACAAAATTGAAAAACCCAGTAAGACAATCAGCCGGATGCCTTCTCCCCAATCTCTCGAAAAGATAGGCGCGCGCCACCATGAAATCATTCCGGTGCCACCCTCGCGACGGTCAACCTCCCCCCGAGCGTTCGCACGCTCGTGCGTACGTCGCGGAGACGTACACGCGTATTGGGAGGGGAACGTTCGTAAGAGAAAGAGAGAGAGAGAGATAGATAGAAAGGGACGGAGAGGGGTGCGATCACGATAAAGTTCACATAGGAATCGTACGCGGCACGCGCTCGCATGATTATCGGCGCCTGGGAACGGAGCTGACTAATCGTATCGTTAACTTTTCAGCGGAGATCGACCGGGTGTGATTACGCGACGTAAAATGCGAAAAGTAAATTGAAAAGCCGGCCTGGGAAAAGTCTGAAACATAAGTAACACGATGTAATGCGAAAGAACTATAGGTCCTCAAAAGAAATGAAACAATTTTATTTTTGGCTATTCTTTCTCGGAAAAAAGATATCAATGCAAGAGAACATCTTATGTTCTTCTTTGTAATTTTTATATAAATAAAAACTTATTTTTTTCATAAATGAAAAAAATTAATCTATCAATTTCTACGAATGTATTTTAATCTTGATTTAATTTACTTTCTATTCAACTTTTAGGAATTATCGAAAAGAAAAATGTTAATCTACGTACGATAGGAATGGACATACATGGAATTTTCAATTTCACAAAAATTCACGAAACTTTCTTCGCGGAAGCAGAGTATTTTAAAATTATCGCGAATCGTATGTATGTAGTAACTCTTACAACCCCTTACATAACATGCACGATGCAAGAAAATCCCGAAAAAATCTTGATCCCCCGTCGGAATCGAGCACGCGAATCCGAGTTTCTCGAGAAACTGATTATCGCAAACAGAGATTAACATCGGCATTACGATGTCTTGCACGAGAGGAGAAGGGACTTACTTTCGCCCTGGCGCATTAGGAGAGGCGATTGCATGCGCGATGACGGGCGATGAAAACGGCGCGACGAGACGGAGAAGATCGCAGCGGGTATCGCGAGATCGCGTGCACACACGTCCAGCACACGTCATCACGCGATCAAGGGCGCGAGAAAGGGAGGTAGAACGAGTGGAGGAGGGGGCGAGAGGGCAAAGGGAGGAATACAAAGTGGATCGCGTGCCTGTTCCTTTTTTTTATTTTTCCCTTTTGCACCTCGCGCCACCGATCGGCCATTCTTCGTCGCCCCGAACTCACGACGACCCCCCCTCCCCCCACCCTACCGATGGCCTTCTTATTCCGCATTATGTAATATCTTGCCGGCGAACCCGTGCCGTGCCCTTTGATGGGAGGCTGGGAGAGGAGCACAGGAGGGCGCCCGCGGGTTCCCGGAAGGGAACTGCTTTCCCTTCCCGGTTGAAATAGAGGGACAATACGAATCCGAACGACGATTTTGTCTGAGAAATTATTTTCTATAGAATGAGATCCTTCGAAATATCTTTCGATCGCGATCTTCATACCTAAGTCGTTGATGTCTCATGTAGTTTGCTATATAAAGTGTATTCTCGGGAACGCGGGACATGACTGATTTAAATCAGAGTCCGTGAAATCTCGTGCGAATTATCTCGGACTTTGTAAATGGAACTTTATTCGTGCAGGGCGTGTTTTCTGCATTGCAGGCGAATTGGTTGCGCCGAACAGAACGCAGTCAATCGATATGCGAGGCACATTAAGGCATCCGCATCCGTTTAGAAAAAAAAAAAAAAAAAAGAAGTCTGACTTGGTGAAAAGAGAACGGGCTGTGTCTGTGAGTCATCGGGTACCATTAAGCGCCGCGCAGGTTACGATATCAACGACTCGCATCGTTCCGTATTATCCGGGACCGTGAGTAGGGCCAAAGTATCCGTCC